AGAGAGAGCCGCCCAAGGAGGAGGGTCGGGGCTTCGATCCGGCGCCGTTGATCCTCGCAGGGCGACTTTGTCCTTCCAAAAGTTGGGTTTCTTGGAAAGGCTGCTCCCCGTGTTGGGTCGCAGGTGGCCGCGGGACTACAACTCCCAGAATCCCCGACCTTTGGTCGTTCCGGCTGGAGGGGCTTCGGGGGGGGGTGAGATCCAACGCTTGGAGACCCGGTGTTGAGAACCACACTTTTGGAACAAGCGCGTGGCCCCCGTGTGCTCCTTTTTTGGGGGGGAGGGCGGTCCTCTTTTTGGGGCGGGGGCCGCCTTGCACATTCCCCCCCTCCCCCGAAGCAAGTGTCTTTGGCCCAGCAGGGGATGGGGAGGCCTTGGTGGGTCAACCTTCTGCCATCACCTTCTCTCCTTGTTCTAAAATAAAATGGTGCCACGAGGAGTATCGTTTATTTATTTGTTTATTTATTTAATTTATATCCCACCCAACTAGACCGAAATCTGCTCTGGGCGGCTAACAACATCTTTATCTGTTAAGAAAAGATGCAAACCACACGATATGACAGGGCAGTTTTCTCTTCAGACAAGACTTTTCCTCAGTTTTAGGCAGTTCCGAAAATGGGGCTATTGGGCTTTTTGAAGTTTTTATTTTTTGCTTGTTCTAACATTGCAAGCTGCCTTGAGTTCTCTTAAGGAGAAAGGCGGGGTATGAATACTGTAATTTAAACAAACTTCATTGGTGTATCAGCCCTTGTTCCACTGCCCGACCATTCCTCTGAAGTGACTGATGGTGGCCTAGCTAGATATTTCAACAAAGCTACAACTAACTACTTCTGCTTATTTTACTTCTATGGATATTCATTTTCAGTAAACTGGAAAATACACAGTATAGGACATTTCAGAGAATTATTAAACACGATGCCTTATTTATTTATATGCCACCTTTATCTCTATGCTGTGTCTCAAAATTCAGTCTTGTGCAATATGGCAAGCATTTCTACATAAATTATGATAATAAATTATGATGATGATGATGATGATGATGATGATGTCAACTTGTGTTATTTGCATATATTTTATTAAATTAGCCTAGGCAAGTTTAATGCAAAATGTCTTTTTTTGTGAAGACGTTCTGATGTTCATTGTAACTTTTCCAAACTCTGCTCTTTTCAGCGACGAGTGCTGGAGCTTCCTATGTTTCTCTCCTCTCCTCACAACTGGATTTGGGACTAGTTTTGCCAGAGTGACGTTTGACTTTCCAGGACTACATACATAAGTACTCTGACAATCTCCAGTAGCCATTGACAGGGATGGGGACTCACCAGTTGCAACTTGCTGTGGAGTCCAACTTGACCCAGACTCAATGGGGGGGGGCGGGTTTGGAAGACTTGGATGTGTTTCACCGTTTGGATCCATGATTCGTCTGAGTTGTTTTTATGGAGTCCCTGGGGGCCTCCCTTCGCCCCCCCCCCGCCGCTGCCACTGCCTGGGCTGGTACAGGCGCAGAGGCCACAGGCCAGCTTCCCATCTGGCTGCCGGCCCCTGCCTTCTTTGGATGGGAAGTTGGGCCTGCTGCTCGCCACTGTCACCCGCTGCTGCCACGTTTCGAGACCGCTGTGGGCAGTGGCAGGCAGTGGTGGAGAGTGGCAGGCACCATCTTCTGAGGCAGATAGCTCGGCTTTCCTTCCAGGAGCTGCCTGTGGTCTCCTCCCCTGCACCCGTCATCCAGTCGATAGGGTGGTGTATGTACGGAGGCAGGGCCTCTGCTCCAAGAAGGGAAGTTGGCCTATTGTCTAGGCGCATGTGCATGCCCCTGCGTCGGCTTGATTTCCCTTCTAGACCTCCTGTCTCAACGCATGCGCCTTCCCCCAAGGGGAGCAAATGATTCGAGACTCAGACCTGGGGCTTGGGGTTCAGACCCCCAACACACAGACTTGGGTCTCTGGCTTTTGATTACCAAGTTCTCAGAGGACAAAATTAGGGATTTTTTTTCAGTTGTGGGGAGAGGAATTCTGTGTCTTTTGTGAAAATGAGACTTCCATGATGTAGTTTGTCTCACCACATGCAATACTATGGCCGGATGGCCAGAGGGGGCGGGGGAGACATTGGTTATACTGTACCTCTTTTCAAAAGCCTAAGATACTAAGATTTTCTTTATAGTGAATCAGGCAACTCTGGGTCGTAAAGGCCTCATATTTTGGCCCCCTGTCAGATTTGATTCTGTTTCAAGTTAGCAAGAGATGGGTTTGCTTTCATGATCCAATTAGACGGGATTGAGTGTGACATGATTTTACCTGAGATTATTTTAAGTTGGGAGCTATGACTCTTATTATAACGGCATCTTGTTACATGCATGCAGTGGATCAGTTATAAAATAGGGTTTTTTTAGTATATTTTTATAAATAAAGTGCCCCTCTTGCACTTTGTTCAAAGGGCATTTCATAATTAAGATATGACTGATGGTAATAACACTATCATCACCATTTTCTGAAGAGACTATTATGCACTTGTCTTTAAAGAGATGTCAAAACAGCTTTTCCCACATACATCTGACAACGAACCAAACTGAAGATTATTTTCATTTAGAAGCATTTCTGAGAGGACTGCTCATTAACAAAAGAGGGCACAATTGAATTTGCAGATGAGGACGTTGCCTCCAAACTTTTTCATACAGTACTTGGAAGAGACCCAATGAAATAAATGGGCCACAAGTGGTTTGTGCCCGGATTATGCCATGTGGACTGTGTGTGTTAGCAGAGGGAGCTTTTGATCTAGAAGCATCTTCCCTTGATTTGCATTGGTTTTGGAGGTCTGTGCATCTTGCCATCCTCCATGCTTCCTTCCTGTTTTTTTTTTTAATAGAAGATAACACATTAGGGATGAAATGACAAAACGGTGCCTTTGGATTAATACCACGAAGAAGCCTCTTTATCTAGCAGCATCCGGCGTCTGGCTTCAAAGAGCAAGAGTGGGGAACTTCCTTGAACGTGAGGACTGAACTCCATTGCCGCGCCAATGTTGAGCAGAGTCAAAGGCACTGGCGTATTTTAATTTTAAAGCTCTTCGTGCCAATGCCTACGCCTCGGGAGAGAGATTTAATTATTTTAGAATGGTGAGGGAGTTGGGGGCTACCAGAGCATTGCATCATGGGGAACGGGGTGTGGCTAACTGGAGAAGTCCAGAGGGCCAGACTTTGCCCTGGGATCTCAAGGGCAGGGAGGGAGGGAGAGGGAGAGGGAGAGAGGGAGAGAGAGGGAGGGAGAGAGAGAGAGAGAGAGAGAGACCAGGGTGACGGTGGTGTCAGTTCAGGCTCACCCACTGAGTCACAAAGGTTGCATGGATATTTGAGCCTGCATCCGTACAGTGCAAACCCAGCACAACACATGGGTTTTTTTTTACTCTGTTCTAGAAATACATAGAGGATGGGTCTGTCAAGGCCAAAATAGCTGTGAAATTAGATGCTTGGTGAAAAATGCCACTAATAATTACCAAGATCTCTGCAGGTGTGAAGGAAGGGTTTAATTCGTTCTCCTTTTCTTTTTTTTAATTGTGGTGAAAAGGAAAAACTCTAATCTGAAATTGCTCTCTGCCCTGGGAGGAAATCAGCAATTAGCAAGAGGAGCTCTTCCAAAGCAAATACCCATCAGAAGGGAGAGATTTGCCTGCAGACTGACGAAATGTGGTGGGTTAAATTGCCCCACTATTATCAGCTCCTCCAATAAATGACGTTGTTTGCATATTCTGTGTATTAAATACACCTGTGTATTAAATACAAAAGATAACATTCATCCTTATGCCTAGTTTGACTCTGCATGGGAAATAAAATTCAGAAAATTAAATTTTTTTCAACTACAGCTTCCATTTAACTATGAGTAGCTATGCTGGCTGAGGGATTCTGGAAGGTGTCTTCCATTAATAACTCTTCTAAGTTCCGCCATTAAATGTGAATGCCAACTGGAAGCTTTAACAGCGACAGCAGCAACCCTTTGGATAAGCAAATGCAAAGAACAAACAACAAGGAGAAAAGGTTTCTAAAGGTACCTGTATTTGCACAAGCTCAAAGAAGGGCTCTTGAGAGCTTTGAAAAGCAAAAGGATTTGAAGCTGGTTTTTTGATATTTCTATCCTAACACTCTATTCCATGTATCAGTCTGTCCCCTTTCAGTTTAGAATGACTGGAGAAAGAGCAGGAAATGCCAATTTTTCTTTGACTCCCCGGTTCTTTGTGATTCTCTAATATATATTGTTGCTTTTGTGCTAATGGATGGCAAACAAACAAAATATTGGGAATCTTCTGTGGACAGTTTTTGAAAGCAAGTAAATTAAGTGCTGGGTTCAGATTCAAGCTTAGTTGGGAACTTTATGGGTCTCTCTCTGAACCTAACTTTCCCATCTTTAAAGTGGAAATACTTCTTATACGCCTTTTTCAAGAGGAAAAACAAGTTAGGAAAATCTAAATAAATATACATTTTCCCCAAACACACTGCAAACAACTGAAGTCTTTCTTATTATTACTGTCTTTCAAACAATACTTATAAAGGTATGCCGGCCCTTTAGTTTATTCCTTTTTTTCTAAGACATGCAAAGCACCCTACCAAACCAGACAACTGGATTTGACTACATAACCTATGACATGTACCTACTCCAGGATGGGCAAACGTACAAATATTTTTGGACTGCAGTTCCCAGCATTCCTCTCCCACAAGCTATACTGGCCAGGGCTGATGAGAATTGCCGTCAAACAAGGTGTGAGGCCCATCGTTGGGTTCCCCCTCGATCTATGCTGTGTGTGGTTTGGCCCACCTGCTTTCAAACCTTACAGAAATATCAGTAAACCCTACAGTTGTTTTTATTGTTTTATACTTTGGAGAGAACAGTCCAAAAATATGGAGGTAAACATGTAGGCAAACTTTCAAAATCTGGTGTAAACCTCCCACTCCCACCCCCAAAACGCAGCTGATTCTAGCCCTGTGAAAAGTAGAAAAGAGGAACAAAGTGTCATTAAGTACATTGGTGAGCGGGTGGTTCTTGTTCCATATCATCGTCCTTTCTTCAGCACGATGGATTCTTTCAGAAAGTTGCTTTGGGATCGTTTCCCTTTATATTATTCTGTTGAAAAAATCCGTGGAGTTTTTCAGTCCGTCCAGTGGGGCTCGTGGCAGAGGGACATTCTGTTCGTGCGCCACCATTTCATATGGGGGGGCCGCCTCCACTGGGAACGAGGACGACAAGGAAATGGAGGGGATGGGCTGCTGCGAATCTTGCAGTCCGACCAAATATCCAGCACCTCTTCCTGTAACAGTCCGGTGAGGTGGTGCTGCTGCTGCTTCCTCCCAAGGAATGTTTATTGCCAATTCGTTGTGTTGACAAGGATCGATTAGGGAGTAAGGTGGCGGATCATCGGTAGGAAGATAGATCTGGGCTGCCCCTGGTCCCACGCATTCCTCGTAACTGAAAGAAAACACATTCATTTTTTTAGACTTTTCAACAATAAACAACAGAAGAAAAACTGGCTTTTTGGAGGAAGGTGGCAGAAGCTTTTACGAGGGCAAAATTCCACGGGCTGTCTGTGAACTGAGCTGTTCAGGGAGAGAACGTTATTCAGAGCAGCCGTGCACCCTTGAAGGAGTGTCCAATCTAGTCCAAGTCCACACTAGCACACTTAGAACCATAAAAAGAAGGCGGAGGAAGGTCCCTGAAAGTGCCAATTAACAACAAGCACCAAAACACCAGACTGAGCAGGTACGTATGCGGTTCACTTGGTCACTGCCTCACCTCACTTGGTGAAATGTCTACTTAAACGATAATGATTTAACAACTGGACCTGATTGCCCAGCTGTCGGTCACTCCTGGATCCTTTGAAATGAAAGCTGCTGTGCTTTCCGCTGCTTTGGAAAGCCCTGATTCAGTCCAAACGCTTCTTCGGACTTTCTTCTATCACTTCAGCTCAGTTTAGAAACAAAAGATATGCCCCCTGCTTGCTTTTTTCTTGAATAAATTCTAAAACCAAAGCACACCCTTAGTTGCCTATGTGCAATCTAAAACTGAATTTTTGTTTGTGATGTTTAGCAATTCCTTGGTTCAGATCTATGACAAAAATATTTTTGGGTAAAAAGAAATTAATAAAAATTCCCAGAATACTTTATATTTGAGTAATAAACTCGGGGCTTTCAGTTAGCAGGGTAGAGTCCTCTAAGTCCATTTAAATACTGGCTCTGTCCAACTATTGACAGCTTGCATACAATTATATCCAATGTATTTTTAAACAGGACATTCTGTATTGTATTCCTTTTTCTTCGTTGTTGTTGCTTCTGTGCTGTGCAGTACTTGTTAAGACGAGGTTTCTATACTGACCTCACCGGGCCTCATCCTGCAAATTTTATCAGGGCTTCAGACAATAGCATCTTCCACTCAGAACTTCCCACCTGTTTTTCCCCTGCTGGGGAAAATACATCAAGGAGGAAGAGAGGGAACAGATGCACAGTAGGTTGTAGTGGTCAGTTTAAGGAACCCTCCATGTGGAAGCAGTGGGCAGTCACCAATTCAATATTTATGTGGGCAGAACTCCCAACAGCTGAAGTGTTGCGCCAATCTCATAAGATGCTTCTCATGTACCAAGTCAGACACTGCCCACAAGTTTTTAGTAAACTTTAGCAGCTTCTGCACTCAGGGTGCCTCATATGTACTAATACTGAATAGGATACTGGCCATCTGAAGTCTGTCATCACAAGACATAGTCTTGAGAAGTTTTTTTAAAAAAAGCCCTCCTACCAACTGACTCTGGGATCCAACATGTAGGGCTGCCTAAGAAATTCACTCCAGTGTTTTACTCCAAATGAATGCATACAGTGGTGCCTCGCAAGACGAATTTAATTTGTTCTGCAGTTAATATTGTCTTGCAAAAAATTTGTCTTGCGAAACGCATTTTCCCCATAGGAATGCATTGAAATCTAATTAATGCGTTCTTATAGACAAAAAAGTCAGAACAAAGTCAAATTTGGTTTACAAAGGGTTTATTAAATGCTCTTTAAAGCCATACATATTGTGCAGATGATTTAAAAATTTTCAATAAAAAAACTCTAACTTTTAAAATATCATAGAAAAACATTTAAAAATCAGCAAACATGAGGCAGGAACAAAAAACGGAAAACATTCTTCTTGCGAAGCACGGCCATAGGAACATTTGTCTTGCGAGTCATCAACAACCCCCCCCCCCCAATTGCCACAACCATTTGTCTTGCGAGTTTTTTTTTCCTGTGAGGCATTTGTCTCGCGAGGCCCCACTGTATTCTGGACCAAACATGAAAGGAGACACAATCTATGGAAATGTAGGAGATTTCACAAAACAGAAAGATACATATTCAGCAATATGGGTGCATGTGAAAAGTATACACACGATTTAAAAAATCCTGTGTACATTTCTAAAATGTGTGCTCCAGTCTGAGAGACATTAATGCACACAATTGACAACTGCATGCTGAAATACAGAGCATGTTTTTGTCACCATGGAAGGCTGAAACTAGAAAGAGAGAGGATGGAAGTCCCGATTCTGTTCACATTGGGTACCAAGATACAACAGGAGCTCTTGGCCTCTGGAATGGTCTGTTTCGAAGACCTTCCATGTCAAATCCATCTGACACACTTGCTGAGATCTTGAGTCCACAAGAAGGCTATTAATTCACCTAAACGGATGCTTAGGGATATTACTGCCATCAAGTCAGGGTTGTCAAGATAAATTGACCACACGGCACTTGTTTGAGTGCCTACGGAGTGCAGTAAGATCAGGATGAAAAGGAAAAGAAGCAAAAGTGAAGAAAAGCAAATGGGAGCTGTAGCAATTTTCTTAATTCTAATGTGAGAACTGATTAGGGATGCATCTAGAGAGATAATCAAATTTAGTCCTAAATGAGATTATTTCAGCTAGTATATCAATCAAATTATTAACACCCCTAAGGAATCTTTCATAAATTAATTTCCTAATTGGAATTTTATATAAATAGGATTGCTGCTGTAGACATCCTTCAAAAAGAAAGAGGAAAAAGCCCCAATAGAAACGGGGACTCTGTGTCTCAAATACATTCTGCCCAGTTCTGAAGGTTGAGCCCATGGAAGGGCTAAGTGGTAGACTGGGGGTGTGGACTGTGAGGCCCTTCAGATGTTATTGGAAAGCAACTCCCATTGGGGCTGATGGTGTTTGCAGTCTTCAACATCCAAAGGGTCACACATTCCCCAGCCTTCCCCTAGCCTAGATGCTAACTGTGTGCCACTTTATGACCACTGTTTTATTCAGTATCTTTCTCAAACTGGTGCCCTACTAGTTCTAGCCAGCATGCACTGTGGTTTCATTTCTGGTCATGGGAAGGACCTGCCAATTCTGGTCACTCATGGCATTAGGAGGATTTATATATAAATTAGCACCATAATGATCATCGTGAGAGAGATGCATCGGGCTTGCATAGTTTCCAGCTATGTTTGGGAAGTTGTTGCAGTAATGAGCAGAGCTTGAAAAGATTCCTTTACAAACATAATGTCCAGAATCCTCTAGCCATACTGCAAGTTTTTAAGTCCTTCAGGACTCTGCTTTGCTTCTCCAGCCCTACACACACACACACACACACACCTAGAAGGAACCTGCAAGATTAATACAAGAAGGCCAAACTCCTCAAACTGTGAAGAACTTTTTATACAGCAGGCAATCTGGAGCTGTGTATCCAGTTACTCTCTTTGGAAGCTATTTTTAAAAAGAACCTCTCACTCATCTATCCTACCAGCATTTCAGCCGTAATGGTTGGGTCCATGGCATAGCCTCTGAAAATCTTCCCTGCAGAATAATAAGGTGGGAAATACTTTATGAAGTCTGAGGACTCCTCCACTCTCCAATCTGCAGATTTATTTTTAATGAGGATAAAGCAGCAGCTAGTAGTATTTGACCTGTATTCTTTCTTAAGAGCAGTACAGTATAGAGGTTTTCCATTCCCCATAATACGTATTGAAACCCTTGGGTAAAATGCAGAAGAAATTAAGGTGCTCTGGAGGGCTACCTGAAAGGTGTTCAGGAAAGGACAGCCCCCTCGCTCCCCCCCATTGCTTTTTTCTTGTGGAGAGTGACAGACTGAAAAGAACAGCCCCTGCGTGCACCCTCTTCCCCTGGCCAGGAAATCCTGGAGATCAGGCTTCTAAACTGAGCGGAAAGCCCTCTCAGCATAGCCGAGTCTCTTCTCTTCAGACCATCGCTCGCCACAGGACGACACAGTGAGCCTGGCCCCTCTACTCTTGCACTCAGGCGAAGCCCATCCATCTCAAAAGCCCGTCTGAACTGGATTAAAGTCGTACCTTGATGTCATCTGGGACGGGAAACCTGCTTGGCAAAAGTGATTGGTTGCAGTGATATTTCTACGGCCCAATTATTTTGAGGGTTTTGTGTTTCCCAAAGTAACTAAATCAGTTATAATATAGTTAGCGTTAAAGCTGTTTGCCTGTGATACAAAACAGTCCTGTTCACCTTGTTGCATCTTCAAGGCCAAGTAACAGCATAAGCCTGTACCTGAACTCCATGCCACTCCTTTTCTACTGCTCATTAGGGCCATATCTCTGTAGTTACACAGGTAAGGGAAACATTACTTTTTCTGGTTAAAATGAAGTATTCCCCACTAGGCAGCAATCGTAATGTAAGTTAATGTAACCAGTTACTGTATTTCCTGTTATTCCCAGCTCTGATTCTAACAGAATCTATCCACAGGTACTGCTGGTGTGGAAGGACTGTGATGCTCATTTGGACCCCAGGAATGTGAGTAAGTGTGTTCAGCCTGGATGGTGTGCAGATTGCTGTGCAGTAAAAGGGAAGGGAAGAAAAGCTGTGGTGCAAAGTTTTTATGCAGGATGTCGTAATCAGTACTTAAATCAAGTGTAAAATATATACTGTATATATCTGCCTTGATTCCAAGAAGCATGAGCTGAAATAAACTTACGGAAGGACATTCCAGAAGAACAGGATTCAGATACTTAGCTGCTGTGCCACGTTCTAGCTCCCTTGCCTACTGTCACGTACAAAGTAATCAGCTCAGCCAACAGCCGCTCCCTTCCTAGTGCTACTGAATGCAGGTCTACACTGAAAACCGATTAATCCCATAACCGGCCGTTTTTGTTCTATTTTTGTTCCATTTTGTTTTTTTTTCTGGTCTGTAGGTCGATTCTCTGGCTGCAAGTCGAATCTAAATTTTGCGGCCAGAGAAGTCTGAAACTCAAAAAGTCTGTAAGTCGAGCCGTCTGTAAGTCGAGGGTCCACTGTACTTAGCTGCTGTGCCATGTTCTAGCTCCCTTGCCAACTGTCACATACAAGGTAATCAGGTCAGCCAACAGCCACTCCCTTCCTGGTGCTGCTGAATGCAGGTCTAGTCAAAATAAAACCCAACTTATCCAGGATCTAATCCTGGAAGAAGGACTAGACCTGG